CCCCAAAACCCCAAAACCCCAAAACCCCAAAACCCCAGATGGAGAGGTACTATTGGAAATTACCAAAATCTCTCCTATTTAAGATTAATAAGATAAGATTAGGTTTGGGTGAATGTTACATCTGAGCTAAAGAAGCGAGGGATAATCTAGTGTTTTCCACTGACTAATAACCCAAACGTTTGTGAGATATTTTTCATAGATACCTAATCCTAGATACTAATTAAATTGAAGTATTTTCCGACAAAACGTCCCATTGACGCTTTCTTAAATCAGAAAGAAATCAAAATCTAAAAATTCTCCCTTCAACGAACATTTTTCGAGAATTATTTATATACGAATCTCAAAGGGTTTAGCTGACTCTGCCTTTACAGGTATGTTTGACCTTATGTATGACTCTGCTACCGACGGTTTGCAAGTGTCTAGCATTACCTTGGACACATCCCTCACAATTCATATCACTCCAGAATTCCTCCATATCTTTAATCTGACTTGGAGGGACCTTCAAAGGTTTGTCAAAGACGAACCATTGAACACATTCATCATAATCGGGAGTGGTGAGTGATCCTTGGTAATGGAAGTTCTCGTCACTGCCAACCCTGTCAAACAAGTTTCCAGGGGAGGCATGGGCGATTTCAGTTTCACTAGAAGGCTGGGCTAACTTATGGAGTTGAAGACTCTCGAGGAATTGGTCCTTAGGAGCATCCTCACAAGCTTCAAACAAGATTCCGACAACAGCCAATTCTTCCTTATGGGTGATACCCTGGAAGACCATGTGCATTTCAGCGTCATAATACTTTCCGTCAATAGTATGTTCAGAAGGAGCGTGGAAGTGGAATTGCAGTGATTGCCATTCAGAAGTCGTATGGTAAGATTTAAAGTTCATGTTTCCGCCATCGTAGTACGTGATCAAAGCTCTACCGTCTAAGTTAAGCTTTCCGTTCTCGATATCTCTGTATTGGGTGGAGAGATTGATGTCAATTTCAGCATGAACTTCTTCAGGCTTAAGGTCAATTGGACTTTGCCTTGTTGCTAAAATAAAATTAGCCATTGAAAGGAAAACACGTTTATTAAGTACGAGATATCTTTAGTAAATCAAAATCTTACCTGAGGCAAAGGTCCTTCCTACTATTCCTGAGTTGCGCACGAAGCTACGTCCCAGGGACATTGTCTGTTTAGCCGTGTTAGGCTTAAACACTAAATGAAAGATTAGGATACGTCAAAATATCATTTTAAAAGATGAAATCACAAGAGAATCAAGCAAGTTCAAGCCGAAAGTGTCTGAGATGCTCTTTTGGCAGTTTAACTTATAAACTGAATCTTAATCGCGAGCTTTCTCTTTCGTCCAGTACTGCTGGAATCCATGTGCTACGTCCTTACTGAGATTCATATTTATTTTTCTATCTATTTCTCCAGAGCTGGGGTTTTGGGGTTTTGGGGTTTTGGGGTTTTGGGG